GCTTCACGTAGGTGGGCTTGCTGTACGAGGGCTTCTCGTAGACGGCGTTGGAGACGTACGCCGGCTGCTGGCCGTACTGCGGCTGCGTCTGGTAGTTGTTGTTCCGCTTTACCTCGTCCTGCTCGGTGGCAGCGGCTTCCGCAGCTGAGCCGGCGGCGGCCTTCTCAGCAGACTTCTGCTGTTGCTGTTGAGCAGGCTTGGCCTTATTAGCAGAAGCATCGCTCTTGGCAGCGGCGGCGGGAGCTGAAGCTGGGGCCTCAATGTCCAGCGAGTCGGCGTCGGAACTGGACTTTGATTGAAGTGCCACCGGAGCTCCAGCAGGGGCCGCCGGCGCGGGGGCCTTTGCCTTGGCATCGGCTGCGGCCGAGGAGGTGATCAGCGGCACAAAGGCCACCGCCAGCAACAGCAAACACTTCAGTTGCATGTTTGATTTCGAAACAAAGGTTTTTTTCGGTACAAAAAGTTGTTCAAATGATAAAACTCCGAAGAGAGGGAAAGAAATGTGATCTGACTGTTCGCGTGAAAGCGCCGTTTTATACTTTGAGGAGGTGCTTGTTGTTTACTGAGGTTTACTGGATTTTCATTTTCTCGCTTTTGCTGTTGTCAATTTGTCACACTGACAACTGAATTTGAATTTTCTACGCTCATTTTTTCTGTTTTGTGAGCAGTGATAGGTCACCGAAATGGTGTTTTTGATTTTTAATCTTTTTTTCAATTTTCAATTTGCATTCGTGCGTTTTTCAGACATTGTCAAATTTTAATTAGCGTACCCGAAGAGTATGCAGTTTTTGTCAACATCTTTTTTGTTTCAAAATACAAACTGGAAAAAGCCGTTTGATTTTCACCATTTTGCTTAGAATTCTTTTTTGCAATTTTCAATAAAAACAATACCTTGTAAAGCTAACAATAACATATTATAACTGGAGTAAGCTAAGAACAGCAAAGAACAGTAAATAGGTGATTGAAAAAACTTTCAATGTCCAAACAGGATTTACACTTGACAAAAACACGCTTTTCGCTACAAATCTACTAAATGATTGTGAAACTGGTTTTAGCAATGAAACAGCAAAAACCAAAAGATTCTTAGTCAAAGGAGAGCCTTTTCAAACACTTTAGCTAACACCAATAAAAAAATTCCGACAAAACTCTGATCTTTATTGAATCACAATCACAAACACTCCTCACTAAACTAAAGACATCATCATCATCATCATCCCCAGCTCAGTCGTTGTTGCACTTCACCTCCGCCTCGGCCAGCGACAGCAGGTGATGCTGCAGAGCGACGGCAAAGCTGCTCAGCGGACAGCCGGGTCCAGTACTGTAGCAGTGCTTGCGGAAGCGTTCCGATCGACTCAGGT